ACTAGTCACATGTCAGTACTAAAAGGCAATAAGAGGTGGCTGGGTCGCTTATTGGGCAGTGCTGGAGAAATACATACTTTTTCAAGAATACTTCCCCCAATAGAAAAAAATTGAGGATTCTAGTGAGCTTTAGGTTTTAGCTCCCAACTGGGCACTTTTTTTTTCAGTTAATATTAGTGGTTGGGAGTTCAAACCCTAAATCTTTTTTTTTTTTTTTTTTTTTTTTTTGTCTTTTTCCTTTTTATCGGTACCGGGGGTGGAACTCATGACTGCCTGCTTGCAAGGCAGGCGCTTAGGCCGCTGAGCTAAATCCCCAGTGCCTCAAACTCTAAATCTTACAGGTGCAAGAGAAATGCTGAGAACTGAGGGACCCTCCCCAAACTTCACCTGTGGGGCTTTGGTGCTCATGGTTTGGTTCTAGCAGTCACTAACAGGAGCCGCAATCCCCTCAGAGTAAACGCGTCTCTTCTTAAGGAGAAAGCAGTGATACTCTTACATACTAGGAAGAAAGAAATGTCCCAGTGATCCCTCTGAATGTCTAGGGGATACCCTGCCTGATTTCTCTGGTAAATTGGTGAAATCTTTCTTCATAGCCTGGAAAGGGATTAGAGAGAAAGGGCTAAAAACCCTCAGGTAGGAAGGTCTGTGTTACACCACCCTGTGAGCCATTGTGACTGGAAATGCAAAATAAAAGTACACAATCAAGAGTTTTTCAGTGTGCAGACGCCCTCAGCCCCAGGAGGCTGGAGCCTGCTTTAGAGGAGGATGTACTGAGGACTGCTGGACATGACAAGGAAGGCACAGAGATTCGCAGCAGCTCTCTGTGCTTCTCCACAATCTGTTCTGAATCACGCAAGGCCCTTACCAGAATGTAGAAGGTGAGATGGTGATTGGAGGCTTCTGGACTTCCCCTCCTCTCTCTTCCTAACTCTGCAGCCCTTATCCACTTTCACAAGGTGACATGGCAATTTGAGGCAGATGGGGCCCTTCCATTTCCTCAGAACTAGCTTTAGATTTTTTTCCTTTATGCTCAAATACATATCTTCCTTCAATCTGGTACTCTGCTAAAAAAAAATGAACCTTAGTATATGAACCAAAGTGGCCCACACCAGTACCAAGAACCACACAGGTGCTGGCTGGGGCACCTTGGAAATACAGCAGAGTCTTGTTGCTCAGGACCTAATAGCTATAAAGTGCACAGTGTTTGTACACTATCCTTTCTGAGAGCTGCTTTAGGAAAAGGTCAAACGGATTCCATGAAGAGTAGTCCTCAAAGAATATGAACTTTTTTTTCTATGAAATGAGCAGTATTAACTTCTTCTTAGGAGGGTCTATTCAAATTAACACTCAGGTCTGCTCTCATTGGCTGTGGCATGCCTGCTCTCAGCTCAGCTTTTAAAACTGGGTCTGGTTTAACAGGTCTAATATGAACAAAAAGTTTTCATCCTACATGTCTGTTGTGTACCCACAGTAACTCCTTCCGGACTGTATAGAAAGAACTTTCTAACCTAATTCTTACCAGGATTTTCAGATAGAAATGTTTGCCTGTTACCATTAGCACTGGGTCCGATCTTGGGCTGAGCATGTGGCAGTAGTGACAAAGAGAGCACAGTGCTCCAAACTGGGCACAGGGAGATTAGGTACAGGAGAGGGCAGGCCAATGGGGCAGAGCAACAGGAGGAGGAACCTCAGTCACCACAAGGATTGGGGTGATTTGGGCCACCACCTGCCATTCACACAGGGGAGGACATCACAGCTGTCATGGGCTCGACAGGTATGCTCAGGAGACTGGAGGGTGTGGTCTTGTGAAGGAAAAATTGCAGTTTGCCTCTGTTGTGCAGCTCCTGTCCAGGGGATTTAAAGTAAGGATGGGGCTCTCATTAAGGGGGCGAACATGTGTGTCTGCCCATCCTAGTTGTGCAAATTGATAGGCTTGTGTGTTCTGTGGACAGGGCATGAGGATTAACCCAGGCATCCTGCAGCATTTCCTATAGAAATGTCTATAACGAATAAGTGACAGGTCTATTAGTAGGGGATCACCTAATGACCCTTCCTCAGGACAAGTGTTCTCCAGTGCGCTGGTGTCTAAAAAAGCAAGGAAAAAGTGCTGCATTGGTGGGGACTTGTAGTGTCACCATCAGTTGTCAAATAGTAGATGCTCAACTAAAGGAAATAAATTGGTTTTGTTATGACAAAGTTCCCTTTTTCCTGGGAAGAGTCTCTGATATGTGAGAGAGGCAAAGTAACTCTCCACCCTTTTCAAGTGCCTTCCTACTATGTGACCGATGTTTCAGATAACAGAAGCTATCTCGTTTCTATATTATCCTATAAATATTAGCAGGAGAGGTTCTTCTCCAATACTTAGTACCTGTCTATTCTTCTCTTCACAATAACCTCCAATTACAGCAGGCTGAGAATTTTCTCCTGTTTTGGGAAATGTGCTCAGTCTGCTAACCTGTGAGCAATTCCTAATGCATTCATGACTGTCCTTGTCTGAATATAAGCACTAGTTGTCATTAGGCACACAGAAAGCCAAGACTTCCCTGTTGGAGTACGAGAGACAGAAAAAAAAAAGTGATTTTAATTTTTATTTTAAGATAAACAAAGACGCCTGTGTCATTTACTCAGAGGACTTCAGGATTTAGAGGAATTCAGCCAAAACAGATATTTTTTTGTTTTTGTTTTTTTTCTACTGTTGTAAGCATGGTCCTGCCTCATCTCAAGTTGCTCAGGGAACTTTGAGTTTTGACTAGGGACATAAGTTCATGTACCAAATATGTATTCCATAGACCTTTTCTAGTAACTCAATTCATTAAAATCCTACACAATTGTCAAGATGGGCTTGAAATGTAATTTAATTTCCCTCCCAAGACAAGGAATAGATTATGTTGTTTGTCGAACTAATTATCACTCACTAGGGAAACAACATTATGGGTGTTAATTTACTTCTCAGATACACAGAAGAAGGTCTAAACATCATAGTCCAAAGTTAACTTTTGTGTCAGAAAGGCTGTGGCTCCTGGAGGGTTTCCAGGGTGAGCAAAGGGACAGGCAGAGCCTCCTTCATGACATGGCTGAAGGCAGGTGATTCTGGCCAATTCTCCTGGGAGAAATGTGCAGCTTTCACCTAATAATTTTTACATTCTTAATTCAGTTCTTGGTTCAGTGTCTTGGACACAGGGTCTTTCTACATTCTGGAGGTTATTTTCTATTTCTCTGAGTGTACAAATAAATTCATGAAAGCTAGGTGCAAGTCAGGAGGAATGGGAACAGGGTGGCCTCTAGGTGACCTCACACTAAGATAGTCCTGGCCTTGACATTACTACACAGGGACCCTGGGAAATTTCCATGCCCATTAGACCTCAGGTTATTCATCTACAAAATAGGTTTGACAAACAGTGTTGGTTGTAGGACCCCTGGAATGTAAGAAATGTACTAAAGCACCCAGCAGAATTTCTGAGAGCTGTCTTGGTTATTTTTCTCTCATTGCTGAGAGAATATACCCAATGCCAAAAATTAAGGCTGGAAAGGTTTATTTAGCTCACAGTTTGTGGCAGGTTCAGTTCATACTCAGCTGTCTCCAAGGCAGGGTGGTATGGCTGAGGGGCAAACAGTCATCGTAGCAATAGACAGCAAAAGCAACAAGAAATAAAGGGGATGAGAGAAAAAGCAAGCCTCTTTCCCTCCCTTGTATTGTATGTAGGGTACCCACCCAAGGGCAGGTGTAGTACTCACAACCATAATCCCCCAACATTGGACCATGAATTAATCACAAACTAGAAACCTGCATCTGTGACTACATGAGGCTTTGGAGAGACATCTAGACAAAAACCATAACAGCATCAGAGCATCTGGTCAGGTACTTTAGTGCTTCACTTCAACTGAGATTCATCCTTACCTCTCAGGAAACCCTTGAAGAGGCTGGGGATAAGTCCCCTGGTTTGTACCCTGTGTAAGATCACATTTCTCATAGCCCTTGCAGGTGAAGTTTACTCTCAACTTCATCCATAATCTAAAAGTGCTGCTCACAGTAGTCTTCCACCCTCTCAGGATTTTGTCTCATCTCAGGGTCTGGCTCTGGCCACCTTGCAGCTGCATTAAATCAATTTCCACAGAAGGAAGTCAAGTGACCCCAACTTTCCCACTTTCATATCTCAGCACTCACCCATGGCTGCTCTCTGCTAGAGTCCACCCACTCGATGCTGCTTTTGTGTCCTTAGTTCCTTGAGGACAATTCTCTATCTCCTGATACTGATGGTACTCCTGGAATCCACCATCTTGTGGGATGGGTTTGATCTTGCTCAGTCCAGGGTACTCATATGTCCATCAGGGACATAGGGCCTTCCAAAGGGCACATGTGTAATGGAGGTTTGGGGTCAATGTGCCAGTGAACAAATGGGTTTCTTCATGATGATAAATTTATCTAATAAAATTGAAGAAAACAAACATTCAAGAATAGAGTAAATATATTTTTAATAGTATAGATAAACAGGAAAAAGAAACAAGAACACTAGGATTGGTTTTCATTCTTATGTTTTGCAAACATATGCATTTTCAAGAAAATTCCTTTTACACTCACGTTTTCATAAAGCATTGAATGGTTTTCTGATTTGCTTGTCAAAAGAGGAAAGACTCCTATACTTGAAATGGAAAACCAAAAATCCATTTTTATCAGTATCACAAAAAGTGGCATTGACAACAGAAAAAGTAATAAAACATTGACATCACAAAACTAAAAATACATGTGAGATTAACATACTTCTCCAAACAAGATGTGCAAGTTATTTTAAAGAAAGGAACGAGACTCAGAAACTCAAAATGAAAACACACATCTATGTCCTAATAACCCAAACAGAACAGGCATCAATATGGCATGCATGATATTTTACCCAGTCCCAGCCCTTTACTACTTAGAAATCTACTTGCTTTGTAGAAATATGACTGACAATGGACCTCATTTCACATGGGGTGACGCAGTTGTGGGACACTTTCTTTCCCTCTCATGCGTCTTGCCCCTCAGCGGCCCTAAACATACTTGCTTCTTCTTTCACAGCCTCCACATACAGATGTGAGTAAGACATGGGTTCCATCCTATTAAGCTTAGCCATGCGCTCTAGGATTTTCATCTTGGTGGTTTCAGCATGGGCCCTGGGACCCCAGAGGAACTCATAGTGAGCAGGATCGCTGTCAGGAACCTGTCGATATTCCAGGTATTGTTCACGCACCAAATCCTCAGTGACGAATTTCCAGGGATCCCCAATAACAATTTCTTCTGTCTCAGCTAATATTTCCCACCTTTTTACTTGTTTCCTGAGGTCCTCTTCACTGATTCGGTTGCCCTTTATGAAAATTACACTCAGAATGAGTATCAGGAGATCAACTTTGGCAATGACTTGGTCACCATCCTCCAGTACTCCACTGTAAGTGAGGCCCATGACAGGGACAAGCTCATATGTGTAGCCCGGGAAATCCACTTCACTCAAATCAACGCCTAAGCCCACACGCAGGCAATCACAGAAATTTCTGAAGATCAGAGGAAAGTGCTCACGGTAATCTTCATCCACAATATGCTGCATTTCTTTCATGGTGACCTGCTCATTCTTTAGGTACTTGCAGAACAGTAGGGGCACCAGCTTATATAACTTGTCATTTAGGAGCACACTGCGTAGGATCTGTGGGACGCTCATCTCCTGCAAGGCACTTGGCTCCTCTACTTCTTGCATGTTGGAGTCCTCACTGGATTGACTGCTTTGACTGGAATCTATGGATGCAGGAGAACAGCAGATGCTTTCAGAATTCTGAGGACAATTTGGTGTCTCAGACCCAGGCTCCTCTCTTGATGTGGCCCCAACTGAAGCACAGGAGGAGGAAGATGTAGAGGAAACTGTGGCTGATGCTTCCTCTTCATACTTGAGATGCCACTCATCCATGAGAACTTGTGTGCTACTTTGGCCAGGATGGTCATCCTCTAGTTTGCTGTCTTGACTTCTCTGACCATGAGGCATCATGACGTTGTAGGAGAACAGCAAGAATTTGCTGTTTATGACTCAGATGCCTGGAGAAAAGAGGGAGACAGTGTTCTCAGCTAAGAAACAAATTTATTATAAGGTGTTACTGTTTTAAGGTGTTACAGGCTTCTGCATCTTACCAGCCCTGTTCCTATGATCCCAGGAAATGATCTGAAGCTGCTCCTAAAGCTGCAGTTGAATCTCAGGGAAGAAAGTACAGACTAAGGAGCTTGTGTACCTTGATGCTCCCTGTTCTGAAACAGTTGGAACCCTAGGTATACTTCATCACATGTACTGAGCCGTGACTCCTGGAATTTGTCTGCTTTGTTACCTGATGACAATACCTCAAATGAAAACCTTAAAAGCCTGGTTGCTGGAGCTTCTGTAGGAGGCATGGAGGCCTCAGGCTGCAGACCTCAAGCGCAGTCTCTGCATGACAACCCTCACAAGAGGGGTGGGCTGGACACTGTTCTGGGTGAATCATCCCTTCTCTGCTCACTCAAGACCCTTAACTGTTTTTGAGCAACACTTCTTGGATGCCAGCTCTCTGCTAGCCTGAGAGAAACTCATAAAAAATGTCTCTTTCCCTGGAGGGAACAGAAATCTGAGTGGACTCACATCTGGACAGAGCTGCCTGGGGCAACAACTGGAGACAGAAAAAAAATATTGAAGTTTATGTCCCTTAGGAGAGGAAAACTGTTCCATCTTTATCTTAATAAATGCTTAGATCTAGGACTCTACCTACAATGACCTGGAGCCCCCTCCCTTAAACCACATCAATATCACTGTGAGACAGTCAAAGAGTAAGTGGAGGAAAGCCACTCCATCTATGTTCCCTGAATCATACTACAGTTGACAAAATGGACAGGTTGAGTCTAATGTACTCTGTATTCAGGTAAGTGGGTTCCTTCTAACTCACATGAACACATAAAAGACACTGAGATCTTGTATTTTTTGTCTCCTATTGCAGTCCCATTGTACCAAGGCCCTTACCTACTGAGAACAATGATAATGAACTAAGAGGGTAGCCTCAGCCTGACAATCCTGCCCTCTCTTCCTGGGATGATAACAAGTACATGTCCAATGTCAAGGACCATACACCTATCTGTGTTGAGGTCAGGAATACCCTAAGTCCTCCCTTAGAGCCGTTATCATGGCTCTTGACAGACTCTGGGACACCTGTGTGCCTCTTTATTGGATGGAGTTATCTGTGCCAACCTCTAGGCACTATCTCAGATCAAGTCCTTCATCTCCATAAGAACTCCAGGATTCTCAAAAGAATTGAATAGCCACCCATCTCATCACCCTTACATGAAGACTTCTGTGCTGACACCAAAACCTGTGCCCATCCCTCCTGTGAGGCAGGACCCTGTAATGCTTTTAAGTGAAGATTTCCCCAAAAAGTCTATAGGGATCATAGGTAAGACATTTGAAAGGCAATTGGATTAAAGCTGTCTTGGTCTCAGGAGGTGGGGTCCTTTCCAAAGAGAAGGGTCACTGTGGGTATGGCGTGGCAGGTTATTTTCCTTCCTGGCTCCCCTCTTCACCCTCTGCTGTTGGGAGAACTTGTGATGAGCAGCTTTCCACCCACTAGGCCCTTTCACTCTGTTGTTCTGAATTAGAATTGGTTGACTATGGACTGAAACTTCTATAAACTGTAAGCTCAAATAAACTTGTCTTCCATTAAACTACAAGTATTATGTACTGTCTCATGGCAATGAGAACATAAGCAAGGTATTCTTTGTGTGTTTCTGAAGTTCTTCGTCTTCCTCTAATCATCGGATCTTCCACTTCTTTAATATCATGGCTACCAAGATGAACTGATCTGGCCCTTGGAGATATAGTCATCTCCCCAAAAATTCCCTTCCCACACAATGGGGAAGTGAGCATGCCAGTTATAGGCTCCCAGGGCTAACCTAGGGAACAGGAAGATGCTGGGGGATCTGTCATTTCTGAGATGGAGATACTCTTAGTTCTTAGGAAGGGAGCATACCTCTGGTGTCTCAACTCCTGATGTCCTTTATTTACTAACCTTATGTAGCCCCTTCTACTGACTTGTAGTCAGATCTTGGAGAAAGGTCCTCACATCTATGAGTTCTACCAGCTACAACCACATAGTAGTATTGCAAGTAGTTAATATACAGTCGCCATCACAGGAACTGCAGGCTGACCCCAGGGAAAACCAGGCACTGTGGGGTCCCTTTGTTTATGGGTGTGGGTTACCTGCTGAACACTACTGAATTTGGTATAAAAATTCATGATCATCTCAATAGAGACAGAGCAAATATTTGACAAAATCCAGTATCCATTTATGATGAGAATCCTACAGAAAATAAGTATAGAATAAACCCATTTCAGTCATATAAAAGACACCAATGACAAACAAATTCCCTAGCCCATATTAAATGGGGACAAGTGGAATGCTTTTCCTCTAAAATCAGGAAAAATACGTGGATGTCTACTGTCACTGCTACAGTTTAATGAAATTCTCAACACATTAGAAGGCTGGTAAGAGAAAGAAATTAAGACATACATTTAGGAAAAGAAGAAATAAATTATCATTATTTGGAAATAACACAATCCTCTACATAAGACACTCCAAAAATTCCACCAAAAGAGACCCAGAAAAAAACCAAATTCAGTAGTGTTCAGCAGGTTAAAAATCAGCAACCCCCAAATCAGTAGTATTTCTGTACACCAGTAATAAACTCATCAAGAATGAAATTAGGTTAACAATAATTTTCACAGTAGCTTCAAAAAGAATGAAATAATTTAATCAAGGGAGTGAAAAGATCTAAAATACTCTGAAAAAAGGAGATTGAAGAGACTAGCATAAAATGGAAAAATATCCTACTCTTTGACAAACAGAATGAATTTAGTCATGTTGATGATATTTCCAAAATTGTTAGCATACAAATTTAATGCACTCCCAATCAAATAACAGTGGTTTTTCTCGTAGAACTTTAGAAAACCATCATACAGGGTCCTGGGGATATAGCTCAGAGGTAGGACACTTGCTCGCCATATGAAAGTCTCCAGGTTTGATCCACAGCACCAAACATGCACACACACACACACACACACACACACACACACACACTCCTACAATTAATAGGTTATTTTAGAGACTTAGAATAACAAAAACAATTAAACAATTTTAGGCAACAAATGTAAGGCATGAAGCACCACAACCTGGACGTCAAATTAAAGTATAAACCTACAGTCATAAAAACAACATGCTACTGGAAATAAAGAGACTTCTGCATGAGTAGAACAGAATACAGGTTAAAGAAACAACAGAAAGTCTCCTCAGCTACCTTAATCTTTGACAAGGGACCAAATGCTTTTCTTTCTTTTTTTTTTTTTTCCCCCTTTTAATCAGTACCGGGAATCAAACTCACAACTGCCTGCTTGCAAGGCAGGTGCTTATGCCACTGAGCTAAATCCCCAGCCCCCAGCCAAATACTTTTCTTAAAGGAGAGATGGCCTCTTTGACAAATGGTGCTGGGAGAATTAGCTGTCCATATGTCAAAGACTGAACCTTGACACATGCACTAACCTAGAATCCAAATCCATCAAAGTTCCAAGTATTAAAACAGAAATAATCTTCCAAAAGCAAAATAGTAAAAACTGGTAGGCACAGGCTTAGGAAAGTTCTTTATGTACAGAACTCCAGGCACACAAGAAATAATAGCAAGAAAAAATAATAGCAAAAATCCACAAATGAGATTACATCAAATTAAAAATTTTCTGCACAGTAAATGAAAGAAAACAACATTGTGAAGAGATAATCTACAGAATGGGATACCACAGACAATAGTTAAAGATTTTTTTCCTTTTTATTTTTCTTAATACTGGGGATTGAACTCACAACTGCACGATTGTAAGGCAGGTGTTACGCCGCTGAGATAAATCTCCGGCCCAGTTGGTGTGGAATATCTAGAATACACAAAATTCAAAAAACATAGCCTCCCACTATTAAAAGACCCAATCAAGGCATAAGTTTATCAACAGAATGACACTTCTTAGAGGAAAAAAGTACCCATAGCCAATAAATACATAAAAAATGCTCAACATTGCTGGCCACTCAATAAAAGTCTCGAGTTTTTATCTCATGACAGAAAGAATAGCTATCCTCAAGAAATCATGATAGCAAATGCAGGTAAGGCTGTAGGTAAAAAGGAATACTTTTTCCTTGCTGGTGGGAGTGTAAACAGTACAATTTCCATGGAAATCAGAAGGGAGATTATTTAGAAAACTACCATTAGAAATTATGTTCAACAGGGATATTTCTATTTTAGGATTTTTTCCTGAGAGAATTAAAGGCATAAAAATATGTTGATACATACTTACCCATGTATATAGCAGCAACGTCTACAATAATCACATTTTGGAAGGGGCCCATATGTCCATCAACAGATGAACAGGTAGAGAAAGTGTGATATTTATGCATAATGAAGTACCACTCTCTCATACAGAGTATAAACTTGAGTCATTTGTAGGAAACTATGTGCATCTGAAAATCATAGTATTATGTGAACTAAATCAGAGACACCAGCTTAAATATTGCCTGGTTTCTCTTATATGAGAAACTCAAATTATAAAGACTAAAGGCAAATATAGAGAAGTGGAAATACTGAGAAATATCTTTAGCATATGTTAGGAAAATAAGAGATTGAAAGGAAAGGGAAGAGGTGAGACAAAAAAATCTGAGAAATTGTGATGTTCCCATATGTGCCAGGTTTCTACAAGGAATGTGATGATTATATACTCAATATGTGTATAATGCCTACATACAAACATGCATACATAATTTTTTGAAGAGATACAGGGAAGGTGGAGGACAGGATAAAAACATAGAAAACATTGAAAATGTGTCATGAACTTTAACAACTCACAATAAATGTAATAATTAATTACAACAGAAACCACCTTCAGTGCTCACCCAGGTTCCTTTCCTTGATTCCCAGGAGATCCTGGTCTGCTCCCTTTGCGGA